CACAAAGCAAGTTCCCAGATGGCACCAACTGAGCCCTTTATCAGATTTTTTAGCACTGATGCCAAAATGAAATAGGCCCAGCAGCCTCATCAAAATTTACATTGCTAATGTGTAGACCCTGTGAATGAAGTTAAGTAGAAAATCCATCAATTATCAGGTAACAGTCCTCTAACAAAGTTTTTACAGATTTTAAGTAATCATAAAATAGCAAGGAATAAATCTCAGGCCTGAAGAACATAAAACATGGCAAGTAACATAAAATCATGGGATGGACTTGGAAATGGAGAAATCATTTCTGAAAAAAGAAAGTCAAAAGGGAATTATAAAAAAAAAAAAAAAAAAAAAAAAAGGAATTATAAACCCAAGTCAGCTTTCTGGTTTTTGTTGTTGTTGTTGTTGTTGTTAAAAATTGAGATTTCAGGATGTTAGTATTTTAAAGCAAATTTAGTTTTCACTTAAAGAGCAATACAGAATTCCAATGAATTTAGTCTTTTGTCCTCTGTGGAAGGCCCACTGGGAAGTATTCAATTTTTCATTGTTGTCACTAAGACTGTCTGCTCCACACACTCCTTGTGTTCACTCTGCAGCTCTTAGCCATCTGTCCTGTTTTCTGGAGAGCCTCATAAACACATTTAGGTTAAACCATATGGACATAAAACCTGTCATTGTATTATAGTCAAAGTCTGGTTGTTGATTTCTAACAGAAATGCACTTGACCATTCTCACTTCTTCAAAAGTTTCATCCTAATCCTGGAACCAAACATCAGTCTGATAATAAATCAGTTTTGAGTGTGTGTCTTAAAGTAAAACACCTGAAAAACAGATGTTTTGAAGTGGCCAAATTTTCTCATCAATTCTGCTCAAATTCTATTTTAAATGGCTTTCAAGCCATTCATTATATTGGCCTCCTCAGTTTTTTACTTCTTTACCTCCAGTGCTTTTTCCTTCAATTTTCCTCAACCACCCACTCCTGTGATTATGTTCTTGACTTTGTCAACATCAAAACTGTACCACTTCTAAAATCTTTACTTCAAGCACCCCATGTTTAGCTTACCAACTCTGGGGCTACAACTCAACAATTCTTCCATCTTACCAAGCCCTTCAGTCCAGTGACTGGGCCACTTTTTCACTCTCCATCACCTCCCTCATGTCTTCATTTCCCTCCTTACCTGTTTTAGAATCCATGATCTATATAATCATGTCTATTGAAAACGCCGCAGTTCCGTAACTCCCCTTGGGCTTATTTGGCAAAGCTCTATCCCTGTTTAAGTTCCACTATCTACTTACTCTATGCCTGTACCACCATTGATGAAAAAACCCACCAGGACGGCTGGTACCACTTAAAATTCATGGTCATAAATCTCAAGTGTGCTAAGCCTCACTCAGCAATCCTCCTCTGCTGCTCTAAAATTACCCTCCCATCCCTTCTCACACCTTCTTGTTCACTCCCAGACATTCCCCTTAGCATTGATATACTACATACAGCATCTCCCAGCTTAAAAAACAAATACTCTCTCTGGTCTTCACATCCCTCCAGCTACTGCCTTATTTTTCTTCATCCTTTTACCTTCTCCCCTTTCTTTCCCTCATTAAACCATCCTCTTTGGATTGTTGCCCCCCCCCCCCGATGCATCTGTTCTTGCAAAAGTCACTAATAAACTCTATGTTGCCAAATCCAATGGTCACGCTGCATCATATCTTGACCTCCCAGAAGCAATTGAGACAGGAGACACAACTGACACTCCTTTCATACATTCTTTCTTTCCCGGGTTTCAGGGACATCTAGGTTTCTTGCTTTTCCTCCTGCCTCACTGGCCACTCCCTCTTGGTGTTCTCTGTTAGACCTTCTCTTCCTGACGTCTGAATGTTGGAGTGCCCACAGTTCAGGGCTCATCTCTCTCTACATTTACTCCCAGGGCAAGCTCCTCTGCTCATCTATAATTTCATTGACCTCAGCCCCAGCCTCTCTCCCAAACTCTAGACTGTTTACTTGACATAAAACCATCAGCAAGGTCAGTCAACTCTGTCTTCAAGAGTACCCAAACTGTGCCACACTCTCTTTCCCCTGTTGCTGTATCAATCCAAGCCACCATGTTTTTACTCATCTAGACTAGCGCAGTAGCCACCTAACCACTGAGTAGGGTTCCTCTCTTGCCTCCCTACTGCAGTCAGAGTGGTCTCTTAAAAATGAAATAGGAACACAGCCATTTTTTTCTGCTTAGATTTCTCTAGTGGATCTTTATCACATTAAGAATGAAATAGAAACTCCTTCTCCTGGCTCAAAAATTTTTTTACAAGATCTGGCCTCAGACCACTCATGATCTCATCTCATACCACCCTTCCCTACTCCACAAGTCTCCAGCCACACTGGCCCCATTTCTGTTCCTGGAACATGTCAAGC